CAGCCCCTGCCTCCCGCGGATCCCGAGGGCCCTGGGGCGCAGCGGGTCGAGGAGGCGCCCCGGAGACAGCTGAGGGCGGTGCAGAGGGCGGACGGCGAGCCCCGAGCGCACCTGGGCGCGCTGCTGGCCAGATACATCCAGCAGGCCCGGAAAGGTACCGACGCCGCGCCCCCCCCATCCTGCCCCTGCGCGGGGCTCCCAGCCCTGACCCTCTTCTCTAGCGTCTGGCTGATGGAGGCGGGTAAACCCTCGGGAGGAAACACAGGCGACACTTTGAGCTGAAAGGTTTTTCACTTTTTTCTTTCTTTCTCGAGTTACACCGCGCAGGGCAGTGCAGTTTCCCGGACGTCCTTTGTAGCAAACTGAGAGCGAGTGTGGGGCTCTCATCAGTCAGGGAAACCTTTTTAAAAAGCTTTCTTTAATTTTTGCCAACGGTGTTGCTGTTGAAGTGCTGCACCATATTATAGACACATTAAAAGAAACTTCCTGAACCAATTACTGACTCCAAAAGGGTTCACAGGTCCACTAACCAGCCTTTTCTGTAAAATGCACAGGATGCTCGAGACTGACTACAACAGTTTAAAAAGAAGAGACAATGTGTCAGTTTTCGCCAAAGTCTGTAACAGGAGGAAAGAATCAGTAGCAGGTTTGAGTTCTTGGCAGTGATTTAACATAATTACCCAACAGGAGACATGTTTGTGATTTTGCTCTTGGAGAGGCGTTCCCAGCTGCAGCCCCATCAAAGGTTTTCTCCAGGAATGAGGTGATCCAGCAGCTTGCTGGCTGAGTGGCTGACACACAGCCCGGTCCCTTTCCTGGGCCTGCCTGTCTCACCTGTAAAGAGGGGAGGAGGCTAGAGTTCCACGCTTGGGGAGCTTCAGGGGAAGGCCCGTCCATCTCTAGGGTCCTAAGGAATCGTGACCGGGGCTGGGGCAGGTTTTTCCAATCAACTCTATCCCCAGTGGCAATGATGGTGAACACGCCGTTCTGAGGGGCAGCGAGCTAAATTGGACCCACACACCTGGACAGCAGAACCACAACAAACACTGCTGGGTGTGCCCAGGGCCTGGATCTGAGCCGTGGCCCCCGGCTTGATCAGATGGGGGAGAAAGCCATAGGGGAGTCTCCTATAGTTTCCTGCGAAGGTGAGACCGGTTTTGAGCAGTCGATTTCAGAAGGGAGCAGAAGATGGTTTGTTATATTTCTTCCTCTCTTTGGGAAATTGTCCCAACTACCATCTTCTGTTTTATTTCCCTAATTAAATGGAAAGATGTGGAAGAAATACCAATCAGAGGACAACATCCAAAAACCTTTGAGGTTCCTAGTGATTGTCTGTCTGAAAGTTACTGAAATATCTGTCCTTGGATGTGGGCTGAGTTTCAGCCAAGCCGGTCTGAAATACCCTTGGCTTTTCACCGAGCCGTAATCTGGAGCCTCCCCCCACCTCCAGGAAAGATGCACGAGAAACGGTTCTGGGAAGGAAGCCCGTCGCCAAACCGGTCCCCTAGAACTGACCCTTGGCGGTGGCTTAGCTGGAATCATACTCTCCTGTTTGAGAGATATGAACAAAGAATAAATATTTACTAACATAAATACTATACAGTTTCTTTGTTTGACGTGTTTTGAGGTCACGTCAGATGTTTTTCTCAGCTGTCGTATATATTGTGCGTAAAGGCTCTAAAGTACACAATGCACGCCGGGCGGTGCTCGCAAGCTTGGCATTAGGAACTGTCTGCAGAGCTCTCACTGATCTGAGGAGAAGTGGTTCCCTTGGAGGTTTGTGGCCAGCAAAGCCCCTGGGCCACAAAAAGTGGGGACACAGTGGCCCCCAATACAGTGGGAACCTCTGAGTGGTCCTTCATCCCTCTACTCTTGAGGCCACCTTGGCTTTGCCCATGGAGGTCCCAGAGGGACTTCTCTTGTCCCTTAGTTTGCACCGGAGAAGGCTTTCTACTGGTTTCCGACCCAGGAGGCCACTGTCTGTGATCTCTGGGCAGGGACTGTGTCATGTGCGTGGGAAGGAACCGCCGCCTCGTGTCCCTGCTCACTCAGTGTGAATGATATCCTGAGGTGCAACGAGGACTGTCCTGTTCCTAAGGACTTAACTGCCACCCCAAAGGGCCCATTTCGGGCTCAGTTTCTGCACTTTGGTCAAAACGGCTGCATTAAATCACCTCTCTGCCCGCCCTCCTTCGGGTGCTGCTGGCCTGCCGAGTTTTGAGTCTGACAGTGGGCCTTTTTCTTAATACCACTTTTTGAAAAGAAGGGAGCTTTCAGATGAATGATTTTTAAAGGGTATTTGTCTAGCAATAGGACTTGATTCCATTTTTTCTTTAACCGTGCCAATATCAGAATATTGTCATCTCATCACCTTAACGAGAGCCAGGGATGCTCAGGGTCGGGGAGGGGTGAGCGACAGGCCTGGGGAAGGGCTGGGGGAGGCCCTGGTTGGCTTCTGCTGCTGGGCCGGCTACGTGGGGGGCGGGGGGAGACAGACGTGGGGCCGCCTCCTCTCTAGACCCCGGTCCAGCAATCTCGCCCTCTCCGTGGCTCTCTGATGCCTGTAAGAAGGTGCACAGGACCCATTGCCTGGCTTCCCCACTGCTCTCCTTTACAAATCGAACTGGTGACGTTTGAGGGGTAACGGCTGCGTTTCCTTCCTCCCCGCCCCTGGCAGCTCCTTCTGGCCGAATGCCCGCCATCAAGAACCTGCAGAGCCGGGACCCCAGCCACAGGATCAGCGACCGGGACTACATGGGCTGGATGGACTTCGGCCGGCGCAGCGCCGAGGAATACGAGTACCCCTCCTAGGGCGCCCCCTCAGCGCCACCAAGCGCCTCCAGACTCCCCGGAGGCGGGATAACAAAACAGTCACACTTACAGCTCATCGTCTCTGCAGTTTGACATTTTAAGTGTCTATTTATTAAGTTCTCCACGTGAAAACCCTGTGAGGTTGTCTGGCACAGCCAGCACCTCAGCAGAATTGTACAAACGGAAGACAGCTGTCTCCCTCATCCGTGACCCCTGGTTCCAAAGTGTGGCGATGCTATTAAAGTGATTTCATTCTGTGCCTTCGTTCCCTGTGTCTCCGGTTCAGTCCCCAGAAGGTTCGAGGAGGGAAGGTCCCGGTGCCCAGGGACAAACTCCTGCAGCAGAAGGTCCCAGAGGGGGTGAGAAATGAGGGTGGGGCGGGGAGCTGAGCCTGTGAAAGGGCCTCTGTGCCAGCTGCAGGCCCAGCCCTGGCCACCCTGGTGCCGGGGCCCCAGCTGGCACCACTGCAGAAAGAACCCGCCCTGCTTGCAGCCAGCGCCTGCTGGTCGGGGTAAAGCCCAGAGAGGCAGCTGGAGACGGAGCGGCATTAGCGTGGGAATGAGTGGTGGCTTTGGGAGGACCTGACGGAGCTTCCTGGGCGAGGGTGGGAGGGAGCCTGAAGACCTGTTCCCCTAAGCCCCATTCAGCACCTCCACTGCATTCGGGATGGGCCCCGTCTAACCGCAGTGTCCTGATCTGATCCCCAGGCCACTTGCCAACACAGGGACCAGGAGCTAAGCTGAGCAAGTCTCACAGCAGCTCCCCAGCTCTGCTTTAAGGGGCCCCGGGGACCGCCATGGTTCCCCGCTTCCTCCTCTCCCACCCTCACCCACTCACTCCTCTCCACCCCCCACCCTCTGCCAGCTGCCCCTCTTGAATCCCTCCGACTTGCCTGCCCTCCACCCCAGGCCACTCCTCCTCCAGCCGTCCTGGCCATTTGCACCCTTGGCTCTGCCAATTAGGGCTGGTTTTCAGATTCCTTTTTGTGGATCCATTGGAATTTACAAGTTGAAAACAAAAACAGCTCTCATTCTAGCCCAACACACACCGTTTCCCTACCCCACTCCCATTTTATAGATAATAAACCTGCCTAGGACCACACAGGGAGTGGGTGGTGGAGCCTGCGGCCCTCTCCGGAATCAGCTCCTTGCCAGGCTGAGACAAACAAGTTGCCTGGTGGTCGCTGCACCTGCTGATGCCCTGAACCTCCGGCTTAAGAGGCCAGGCCTGCCCTGACCCGTGACTACTCAAGTCTCAGCGCAGCCAGCAGCCAGGGCGTGAACAGAGTTCCCTTTCCCAAGATTTACCCAAACCTGACGGTAACACATCTTCGCAAGGGGGATCTTTACACAACGCACCCCAACCTCCAGCACCCAAAGGCACCTTTGTTCTCAGGTTCAGCCAGTCGCAGGTAACAGGAAAGGGGGACTGAGGGAACTTCTATGTTTATTCTTTTAACAACACAAAAACACTTTTTTTTCCTTGTCTCGGGTTTAAAGAGACAAAGGAAAGAATCTTGACTTCCAGATTGAGATGGAGCCACATTAGCATATTGGGTGGGTTTGTTTTTTTTTCCAGTATCTTCAAATTATTGCCAGCCCTGAAGATAATTAAATCAGAGATCAAGCCAAAAGAGAAAAAATATTGCCTGGCTAATTTCCTCTGGGCTCTGGGTTCTGAAAGGATTTATTAAACTCACCTGCTGGTATCTGCCGCCTGCTCCGAGTTGTGTTCTCAGAGAACCAGGACCGGGGGCTCCCAGATGAGGGAGCGCCTGCCCGGGATTCCCCAGGGTGCCTGTCGCTAAGTGACATCTAATCACCCGGGTGTCCGTGAAGTTCTTAGGCGCTTACCTAACCCAAGAAAAAGGAAGTTGGTTCCACCTACAGAAGACGATAGTGCCGCCCAGTGGAAAACTGCTTAGAAAACTGCTCCTCGGGGAGCCAGCTGTGTGAGACCCGCAGGGTTCAGGCTCATTCCTCTTTGCCCACCTGCCCTTTATCCAACCCCATCAGCTGGACCGCTCAAACCGGAAAATTAAGGACATGGGGCTGTTTTCTAACAATGGGTGTTTTCTGTTATTTTAATTTTGAAACTTTCACATGGCTGCCAAAAGGCCCCAGGGTTTGGAAAATCACCAATAAAACCGAAGAGAGAACAAGACGACTGACAAGTGAGGTACTTTCTATAGAATCAAAACAGAGAAACAGGACATTTAGATATATTTGGATACATTTAGATCTATAGTTACCAACTTGTCCTTGGTAACTATGGTTACCTCTAATTAGTGAGCTCCGGATGCTTTCGAGATTTGAGTGGAGGAAAATTAAAAGGAAACACAATTCCAAATAAGTAGCAAATCAGCTTCTTCCCCTTCCCCTTCTGACTCTCCTTGCATGAGGACCCATAAACCAAAATTGGGAGTTGAGGTCCTCTTGAAGGAGGTGACACCAGAGGCCAGGGCGCGTGGGACAGGAGGCTCACCGCAGAATCAGGCTGAGGCAGGAGGCCCGGGGGGCTGAAGCCGGGCGAGCGGTAAGGCTGATACCCAGTGTTCATTTGAAGTGTGTACGTGTTCAATACGGAAGACTTCCCGTTCAGTTACGACTACAGGACAACAAAGTTGAACGTAATTGTGAGTCTCTATATTAAATATTCTACACACACTTTCAATGAGTAACACTCACTATTCTCATAATTCTTTTCTTTCCCCCTGTTATGTTCGTTCTTTGATTTTTGAAATGTAACTTAATGTCTGTTGAAAGTCATTTAAAAATTGGTCTTGGGTTTTGTATTTTTTTTAATTCTCTTTTCCCTGCAATTCATTGTTATTGTATTTGACACAACTCCTGGCCCATGATGGATTGATTTAAAACAAACCAACCGATTCTGAGTTGCTTTCCTGGGAAAAGCCAACCCTCCCGAATGCAGGCTTGGATGCTCAGGGCCTGTTCCTTCAGGTTTTCTCCTGTCTCCGAGTGCCCTCTACTGGCCACCGAAAATACATTGTCCCAGGAGAAGATGTTTTCCAGCCACGAGCCCAAATGTGCAAAAAATTAGTTTTGTATTTTTCTAAATCCTGACTTAATTCCTATTATGAGCTCCCAGTCCATTCCGATAATTAAGAATAACTTCCCACCTCCACCAACTTCTCTCCAGGTGGCCTCTATGTCCCCGTGCCCATACTCATGTGAGCTGGGGGGGGAAGGGGGGCATGTGCCTACATTCTTTGTCCTGTTGAAAAAACCCCAGGGCATACCTGTGTCTCTGCTCCCAAGCAGCGTTTGGAAGTGAGTCCCACATCTGTCTGGGGCCAGATACTTGCTGCCATTTCCGCTGTCCCTGCCCCGTGTGGTCACTGCCGTGTTGGAGGTGAGGAGCTGGCATGGGTTCTGGAACATCTCCACTCCCTCCCCTAAATTAGCTCAGTTGTCCTTGGATCCCCAGACCCATCAGGGGCTTCTTCCAAGACCCTGCACTTGGCTTGGGGATAGGGAAGGTGACTGCTATGCCAGCTGTGGGTAGGAACCCTCTACCCAAGAATCTCACTGGCTTAACACCACCGTTCGTTCCTCTTTCAGATCACATGTCACACGCAGGTTGGCAGGGAGTCTGGTCCACGCCGTTCCTTGGGGACCCAGGATGATAGAGGCTCCGCCAACATGTGACACCACCATCTCAAGGTGTGGCTTCAGGGGAGGAGGGGAGCATGGCTGCTTCTCTGCTCACAGCCCACTGGCCAAAACTAGTCGTGTGCGCCCTTGCCCACCATGTGCCTGGGAAACATGTAGACCAGATGGCCCGTGTGGTGAACACCATGGTCTCTGCCACAACCACGCTCCACTTCTTTACTGATGCCCAGCCACAGGGCCTCTGTCTGCTCCTTAAACACAACAAACGCTTTCCTGCCTTTGCGCCTTGGCACCAGTTGCCCTCTGCCCAAATGCTCTTGTGCCACATCTCACATGGTTGACCCAAATGCTACCGCCCTGAGAGGCCTTCCCCGACTGGCCAAAGCAGCCACCCACCCCTCACAATTCTCTGCTAGCCCTCGGCAGGCCATGCTCCCAGGTTCAGCGTCTCTCCTCCGACCTGATCCCATGAGAGAAGCTGCTCGCTGGTTTATCATCAGATCCCTGCTATCAACAACTCCTGCCATATGGCAGACGTTCAGAATATACTTACCCAGCCAACTAACCGTAAGTATTCCTGTGCCTGTTCCACAGGTTAAAAAATGGAGGACCCAAAGAAGGGGCTTGCCCAAGGTGACACCACTGCAAGATGGTAGCACCTGGTATAAGACCCACACAGCGGCCACCCACTGCTTGCATGATTTCGCTACTTCCCAAACTGAGATGGCAGAATGTGTTGTATTTCACCCCTTTTTCACAGTTCTCTATTTGGTGACCCTCTATTTGGTGTTTAGTTTTTAAAAGTCTCTTAACACAACTCTACAGAGGTCAATTTGGTACCATCTGTCAAGGACTTTATCTCACAGATGTGCTCGCATATGTAAAAAATTACATATATGCAAGGTTTTTTTGTGACAGTGCTGTGATAGCAAAATATTGGAATTAACTCAATGTCCGGCTGTAGGACACTGGTCTAATCTGGTCACAGTGGATATATGCACATGGTGGAATAGTATGCAGCCCTGAAAAGTAGGGAAGAGCTTCAGGTTCTGATTGGAAAGTTGTCTAAGATACAATATTATGTTAAAAGAAGGATTGGATATAACTATGTAAAGAACCACATAGCATTTGTTCATTTCCCCAAAGAACTGGATACCTTACAGAGAGAGGTCATCATCTATCAATGAAAAAGATTAAAAGATGCAAATCAGAATACCAATGTGGTTTCCATCATTTGAACTTATTTTATTGATATTCATTAGCAAATAAAATTTGTTGATTTTTGATGCATTACAACACACTTGTTGATAGTGGTTGCCTGATGTTGATCATTTATTTGCTAAATACTGCAACCTCCAAACTGCTGATTTTTACACTGGTGTTTCCTTTGTGACGATGGGTAGCTCCTCTCTCTGAATACATAAAGTGGTCCATTCAGTCCATGGTTTTCATGTTCCTTTGTTATTCTACCTACTGCTTTAAAATACATTCAAATAAAAAGATACACGTTCCTTGCATTGAGTGCACACATACAGCCACAAGGGGTGTTGAAAATGTAATTGACCAACACCCTCGTGTTCACAGAATAAATAGTCTGAAATCTTGGGACCGAGGCTCGTTCCTGGGGACTTTCTTACAGTATCTCGTGTGGACATAAGGTTACACTCCTTCAGTTGAATGACACATCCTTTGCCAAGGGAGGAGGGGGACGAGGGATGCAAAGTGGCAATTTCATTTGCATGTGATGCTATCCTTGCATAAATGTCGGAAACAAATGGCCACGGGACACCGTGAGGTACACTGTAGTCTTCAGATTAAAATAAATAAACAACCTGCCCAGACGGGGATGCCACAGACACTGTGACCGGAGCTGGAGAGAAGACGCTTGTTTAAAATACAGCATATATAAATAATAAATAAAAGTCCAAAACTCATTCGGCGACAGTGGCGGGACCAGGCTCCCTTGCTCACTCATGTGCGTCTCACAAGCACCTCCATATTTTCCTAAGGATAACAGTGGCCCCGGGAGATGGAAGGCTTTCGGGAGAAGGAATACCTTGTGGTGACTGTTCTGTTCTAAAGCAAGAGGGCAAAATATGTGGGGGTTGAATGGCTGCCACGAAAGACCACGGAAGTAAAGCATGTGGACAGACTTGGGTCTCAGCTGAAGGCCAAAGCCTCGTTTCTCTCATAAACCAGGTTAGTATTATGTTTGGTTGTGGTTCTTTTTCCTTTGACTGTTGAACGATTTCATTCACAACCTTTTCCCTGCCCCCTTTCCTTTCAATGCTACTGTTGAGGTTGTGCTGCTGGGTCCCAGAAATAAGCTGCTATCTCCTTAGGGGCCTGGTGTGTTTGCCGCTTGTACTTTGATGTCATAGAACCACAGAGAGAGCAGACACTGGGCCTTCCCCACCTAGGACCGCTACTTCTCTGCCTACAAATATAAAATTGAATCAGGACACACACAGCCCACAGGGGCTGCAAATTGGTTCAGTGGGAGTGTAAACACATTCTCTTTCGGGTCAGGTGTCTGGCCTGACAGCTGAATGCAAGACACTGAAGGATGACTTCAGGTTGAAGGCGTGGAGAGCAAAAGTCACACCTCAAAAAAGAAGCAACCATCCACTGAGGCAGTGTAACGAAGGTCCTGAAGGAGCTGGGCCACCCATAAAAGAAAGAACAGCTCTCTGGTCCTGAAAGCCATGCCAGCTGCATGTGGCCAACAATGGAGGTTCCTTACGCTCTTACAGGGGTGGGCGAGGCGAGGTGCCCAATGACATGGGGCGGGGGGGGTCATTGTGCCCTGTGCCGTGTGACAGCTCACGACAAGCACACTGGCAGCCAGCCATAAGTTCCCTGGTTTCCTATCCATGGGATAAGAACGCCCTGGGGAGTTTCAGTGCTTCTCAAAGGACAAGAGGAGAAAAGGACACCTGCCTGCCCTGCCCCACCAGGCTAGCACAGGTGAAGTCCTCAGGAGAGCAATGACAGTGCAGGGGCACTGCCCGTGGGATCTAAAGAAAGGGCAGGTCGGATACTGGTCTCCAAGTCCTATGTACACATTTTACAAAGTCTCCACTCTTCCTCCATTAGGCACAAGGTTGATTTGTCTAGCTCAGGAGGGGATGGGCGCAGAGGGAAGAGAGAGCGCGCAGTGCAGGGGGGAAGCGAGGGAGGAAGGACAAGACTGGTCTCCTCCGAGGAAGGGCCCCCCTGCCACCCTCACCGCAAGCTGGTTTGTTTGGGGAGCTTAGCACCCATCAAGATGCCTGAGGTGAGAGTCACAGGGGCCTTCATCTGCATGCTGGACCCCACCATGGTGGGAAAGCTGCGATTCCGCCGGATGCCACTGCTGAGCTGCAGCCCACCCATGGCATTTGTGACGCTGGGACAGCCGAGAGGCAGGCCCTCGGGTCCCAGTCCTCCAGGGACAAGGGCCTGTGCTGGGCCCGAGGGCCCACAGAGGAGAGGTCCCTGGTCCTCAGTCAAGGTGGGGATGTGGGCTCGCCCTGAGTTCACCACTTTGGCCACACCAAACCTCCTCACTTTGTCCACGAGGTTGAGGTTGGAGACAGACACATCTGTCTGACTCTCACTGCTCTGGACGGGCTTCTTCTCCCTCACCTCCCTCAGGATGGAGCTGGCTGGCTTGGAGGCCAGGAAGTTGTCATAGGGAGGGCTCGTGCACTTGAACTCAAAGGAGGGCGGGGAAGACGTGGGTGTCTGCATGGGCGAGTTGGGCGGAGTGGAGGGGATCACGGCCATCCTGGGGGTGTAGGAGTGCAGGAGGGAGCCTCGGCCAGCCCTGTCCCAGCTCTGCGGGTCATACACTGCCGCAGAGATGCCCCGTTCCTTCAGCAGCCACACCAGCCCCAGCGATGTGCTCATGGTGGTTGTGGACTCGCGGATGTTAGTGAAGGACTCAGCCAGGCTCAGTCTCCGGGGAGTGCACGGCGTGGCCACCGGCGTGGACTTCAAGTGGCTGGTGCTGCCACAAGTTGGAGTCGGGGCTGAGTTAAGGCTGAAAGGAAAAGAGGTCATTCATCAGAAAATGCCTATGAGCACCAGGAAAAGGGGGCAGTGGCCAGTTTCCTGCAGGGATGCAGGGCAGGCCTGGGACAGGATGAGAGGACACCCCCCAGCCCAGGCTCCCCAGATGCCTCTTTCCATGTCTGCACCTCCCCTCACCCCTGGGGGCTCGGATTCCCTTAGGTGGGGCATGGTTTCAGTTTGCAGGAAGTTGCACACGATTTCTGTCTCTCAGCCCTGTAAGGTGCATTTAAGTGTCCCCTTTGCAGGTGAGGAAACAGGCTCTGAGTTAGGTGGCTTACTCAATGTCACAGTAAGCTATTAAGTGGGAGACCCCAAATTCGAACCCAAGTATAGTGACCCCCAGAACAAAGTTCCTTCCTACTACTTACTCCCCTGAGGTCAGAAGTTACCCACGACTATGGGTTATGAATTTATCTAGGAATGGCCAGAGCAGGCGAGACATTCAGGTGGAGGGACTTTGGGTGACGGGGAGATGGAGGCTGAAGGCGCACATCAAGTCATCAGCAGATACTGGCCTCCCTGACTCCCAGAATGGGGCAGCACCTAGCCCTCCCTGTGGTCCCCCAAATCCATAACTTGACAAGTGAAGTCATGGGGTTGGAGGAAGCCACATTGCATCTATGGAGCTGCATAAAGGAAAGTAAGGATTTCTACATCCACTCGTGTAGTGCTGACTGAGGACCCGCAGGTTCCAGAAGTTGGGGCTGGGAAGTAGGACAGAAAAGTGTAGAGGACCAGCAGGGGGCATGCCTAGCTGTCTGCTTAAAGGACAGGAGGGGCCCCCTTCTAACAGCTGTGACAGGAGGTGTGAGGCCACACCCACAGGTAGCCTGCAGGAGCAGCAGAGGGACCAAGCAGCACCCTCCTAACAGTCTCACGAGACCTGTCTTGCTGCCGCCCAAGCATGTGGCTGCGGCTGCAGCTGCAGGTGCCCCTTGGAGCAGGCCAGTGGGGTAATCCCCAGGAGCTGGGGACAGGGCCCTCTCTCCTCAGCCTGACAAGGAAAGGACCAGATTTGGGCAAAGCACCAACCTAGGGAAAGTGAAGGAAGGGGACACGCTCTGGAGCAGGTTCCTGGAGTGACTAGAGCATCTCCCCCAACCCCTTTTGGGAGGCAGCGCTCACAAGCCAGTCCAAGCGGAGGCATCATCTGGCTCCACACTCGGTGACCTCGCCGCTGACCGGTCAGCACAGGGAGAGGCACACAGAGCAGGCCCATCCCACACAAGCCCAGGGGCGCGGATGCTGGTGGCAGGGGCACTTGGAGAAATACGAGATTAGAAACCACAGAGATTCCTAAAGTTAAAAGGTGGACTATTCAGCCCTGGCCAGTGTGTCTGTTAGTTGAGCACTGTCCCGTGCACCGAAAGGTTGCAGGTTTGATTCCCAGTCATGGCACATGCCGGAGTTGTGGGTTCTGTACCCAGTTGGGGTGTGTGCGGGAAACAGCCTATCAATATTTCTCTCTCACATCAATGTTTCTCTCTCTCTCTCTCTCTCCCTCTCCCTTCCTCTCTCTTTAAAAAGTCAATAAAAAACATATATATTTTTTAAAAAGGTGGTGTACTCTTCAAACAGGGCAGGTGGAATTCTACAAAATGTTGATCTACAAGCAACGGAGGGCAGTAAAGTTCTGGACCGAACATCCTGTTCCCAGGGCCGTTCCCAGGGAGTTTCCATTTTGTTTCAAGCTGCCATTCTTTCAAACTCAGACAAAAGCCTTCCCTTGCTCCCGACTGCCAGGCTTTCCCGTCCCTGACGCAGCCCTGTGGCTGCAGGCAGGCCGGCAGCTTTGAGTCCCAGGGCTGCATTCGGAAGAGCTCCAGGTGCCAGCCTCTCCCCAGGGGAAACCCTACCCCGTGGTGTGAAGCACAATCTCTTCCTCACAGGTCCTCTGGAGGCAGGGAGGGTGATGGAGAAGAAAAGCTAAGATGTGGAGACCCCCTTCGGGTGAGAACTGTGGTTAGGCCTGTATTAGTGCTGGCGCTCGGCTCGACTGGGGCGTTTAGATGGGTTAGGGGCATCCACCGTCGGGGCCGAGTTAGCCAGGCACAACCACAGAGACACATCCACGCCTAAGTCCTGGGTTAGTGGCGGCCACGCGTGCACACACAGCCCTTTCCACGTGGCCCTGCCGGGGCAGGCACGGCTGGCGTGTGCTCACCCCCTGCCTTGCCCGTGGGCTCACTGTCTGCCCTACATCTCCTCTCAGCTCAACGGGGCATGGGGCTGCTTCGCCGTCCTCCGCACATGACCTGCGGAGAGTTATTCAGAGTTGAAGGCAGCTGCTCCCTCCAAGCTGGCCCTGCTCGCCTCCCCCCCTCTGGGCTTCACCTTCAGTCCCCGGCATCTCACACCGCAGAGAAAATGGCTGGGGGTGGGGGCCCTCCCTTTCACTGGAAGCTGGGGAAGGCCTGAAATCAAGCCACACCGACCACCCCAAGCCATACAAGTCCCCTCGCCAGATGGTGCCAACCTCTATTGCTTCTCAGAGACACCGGCGGAAAATGGACCATGTTGGACATGTGGTGTGGTCTTCAAATCTGATCATTTCAATCATTACAGTGTAGCTGTGGTGCATGGTTCCTGCGGTCTATCCCAGGGGCACAGGGGCTTCCAGGGGCTCAGCGAGGAAACGCCATGCTCTACTGGCAAACTTCCAGGCAAAAGCCACCAGACTTGGCCTTAGGGCCTATGAGTGTCAGCTTCAGCTGGTGAAGGAGAGGCCTGAGAATCTTCCATAACCAACTAAGAGAGCAACTAGAGGTGGTCCAGGTCTCTCTATCTGCATGGATCTGAATTAACAGGGACCTCGAGTCACAAGAAAATACGGGACCCAGTATAGGAGCCTGCAAGTGCTTAGGAGATGCCCCAGTTGGCCCGAGTTGGTGTTGAATGAGCTTCTGTACTTGGGTTTTCTCAACATTACATCTCCCAGGGAGAGCCCCCCACTTACCCTGCCCCTGGCCCCCCCACCCAGGGCCGGGGCCCCTTACCTTGGCGTGACCCGTGTGAGCTCGTCTGAAGGATGCAGGATGCGACAGGTGGTGAAGGTGAAGGTGGAGTTGGTCTGTGACATGCACTTCCCAGGGTGGTGTGCTAAATCGGGGGAGGGGAAGGGACAAAACATGTTTCTTGCATCCAAGTACACCCGTGAGAAAAGGACCCAGCTCAGACCTCAACAGATGCAAGAAGCGATGAGCTACCTTGATAACCGGATCTGGGCCAGGAAGGTGAAACGCGAATGTTCTGGATCGAAGGTGGTGCCTCAAAACCAACCACACTTCTGAGCACTGGCGTGCAGAGCATCGGATTCCAGCTTCCGACCCAGTCCGCACAGGGCTCCCCATCGGAGTTCTCCGGTCAGTAGTGGATCCAGTTTGAGGGGCTATGGGGCCCATGGGGGGTAAATTTGGTTTCCCTCTTAAGAGGTCAGAATCTGCTTCGGTCTTTGTTGCTTTATATTTCTTTTGATTGGCAAACGGGTGCTGAACTCTGCCAAAGGGAGGGGATGGGCTCGGGGCAGGGAGAGGCTCTTGCCCCCTGGAAACAGGGCAAGGCTCACAGGGCTCCCTTTTCTGTTTATGCAGAAAGGGGCTTGGCTTGAGGATCCTGGTTCCACTACTGTCTATCTGTGGTCGTCAGGGGGGGACATGAGACCTCAGCTGCCTCAGCAACAACGTGGCTGAGACCCAGACCCGGGGCTCTCCATGGTGCTGTCTGACACACAACGATCCCAGCAGCACCAGCCCCTCCCCGGGCCACGTTTTTGCCGTCTCTAGGATGTCTGATTTTAATGAAAATGAGACAGCAACAAGTGATCCTCCATTTATTTCCTTTTAAAGGTCTCCAGAGTTGTTGTTAAGGCAGCTGAAGGCTGTGAGCCGGAGCGAAGTAAATGACAGAAGCGTAAGGACCATGCATCAGAGGCTGGCAAGTGAGCAGTAAAGGCCTATGGGAGACATCATGATTGCAGAGGTCATCCTCATTCATAACTCAAACGTTAAAAAAAAAAA